ATGCAAAGACTCAAATCCTGTCTAAGAAATTGTACATTTTTTTAGCATGCTGGAATTATTATGATATTCGCAAATTTGTACAGATTTGCTTAAAATCTGAAGAACATGGTGAAGGATATTTAGACCGTTTTTCTGTAAAAATGTAACAGGGTTACCTTACAAAAATAAGCTTTAGAAGCGACTGTACGGAATTTATGCAGTTTTTTAATCTTAGATCATTGTTCCTGCAGTTGTAGGCTATTTTCTTACTGCGCCAAATCATTAAGTTTCTCATTTTTAAACTATGTTAAAGACAAAGCCTTTAGATTATTATATTAGAAAGTGACAGTGCTTTCTTAAAGGTTCATTTTTTTGTAGATAACCCTGCAGTTCTTATAACACACATACGTGCTTGCATATTAGCCTGTATAAAGCGTTGCATGTGCAGATTGATCTAAATATACTCAACTTATCGTTTTGTTTGAAACTTATTGTAATGTCTGATATTCTTGAGATGAAAGATTAGAATGGATTTGGTTCTCAGATTTATCCTATTTGTCAAATTATGCTAGAACTGGAAGACTTGGACCAAATGATCCAATCTTCAAATATATTCTTTAATCTCAAACTTAATATCAAAAATCATAATCGTTACAATTCTATTTCTGAATTATTGTCACAAAGTAATTGAATCTTTCCCACAAGCCTTGATCTTCTAATCCCTATATCTTTTCAACCTAATGTCGCAAACCAAAGATATTTCAAATAATCTAAGTTTGAAATATCAAATGTCTACGCCATCAGATTGTAAAGATATAGGGATTAGAAATTTTGAGTTTTACATGATAAGTGATTTAATAACTTAATGTTCAGTGTACAGTGTACAGTGTACAATGTACAGTGTTCATGTCAGTGTACAGTGTACAGTGTACAGTGTTCATGTCAGTTAACGTCACAGAAATTAATCCAAATCTGACTCAAGATGGAGCCTTGATAGATATATGTAAAAACAATACATACTTTGTGTACTCCCTATATGTAACAACAATGTATAAGAATGAAGGGTATTGTTTTGATTATAAATTATCCAGGGCTTTGAAACATTTATATTTACCCATATTTTTCTCTGTAGACAATACAGTTTACATGTGAGTGTACGAAATATATTCTTGACCCATAGAGCCTTCATCAAGGTTTACATTGCACATTAATTTCACTAGAAGGGGATCACAGCTTGCTGTACCTGGTGAAAAGTCGGCCGCTTGGCCTTACTTCACTCCGATGTGTAAAGCCTTTCACAGAGCCCATATATACAAAGTGCAGAGATATATAGGCACAACTGATGGAGCCATAATAGATATTTTTACAAACTATACATATTGTTTATGTACTCCCTATACGTCCAAAAATGTATAAGAATGAGGGGTATTGTTTTAATAATAAATTATCCGGGGCTTTGAGAAGTGAAGAGAAGCATAATTAATGATTAAAGAATTAAAGGATTAAAGGAATTACCGCGAAGAAATTTTCTAAGGAAATATATTAAAAGGTTTTGCCGAGAACTCAGGTTACAGGAAACAGGGTTGCACACAAAAGAATGCAAATTTGGAGACGACTTTTATAAATTTATTCGAATATGGTTGACTTTATTCAACTTAATTTTTTTATACATATACAGGGTGTCCTTACAATCTTGCCAATTTTCAAATTCCTGTAACTTTGTTATTGTTCGGAATTTTTCCAATCTGTAAAAAAAATTTGAGTAATTGAAATATGAACATCCTGTTGCATATAATGATAATTTATAATTCGAATACCAAAAAATGCGTAAATTCAGTTATCTTGGCTTCTTTAGAAAACACCATATTGGAATATGGCTCAAATGAAATAACTGTGCAAAATGTATCAGTCAAAATTTTTTAAATATGTAGAGTAAATTTGGGCAATAATTTATAAACCATAAACAGTTTTTAAAAAATTACGATTTCAATTTGCTTTTATTATTTTCCGTTGTCTAAAACATGATTCTACTCTAAATTGGATGAACAAAGCTACTTTCAAAAAGAAAACAAATTTAAGTCTTGTCCGAAAATGACGTTGGGGATTTTAGATAGAGTTTCTTTTTGAACTTTTTTTACTTTCTCCACACGTCTAAAGCCCTACTTTCGTACCATGTTCATTTTAAATAAAGTGTCTAAATTCTTTGAGGTAATCAAAATGTCCTGATCCTATTTTCACGGGTTTCTAATGTATCCCCTTACTTTGCTACATTTCTAAAAATAGTTCTGTAGAATGTTTAAAACTCAGCTGATTAAAAATAGTTCTGTAGAATGTTTAAAACTCAGCTGAAGCCCAGATCCCATGGGTAAGATTAAAGATGGTTCTGTAGAATGTTTAAAACTCAGCTGATGCTCAGATCCCATGGGTAAGATTAAAGATGGTTCTGTAGAATGTTTAAAACTCAGCTGATGCTCAGATCCCATGGGTAAGATTAAAGATGGTTGTTCACACTTTTTGAAAACTTCATTATGATACAATTAAATCTATTTCTGAAAGGGACTGTCCTTGTAATTCTATCTGGGTATGCCTGATTCACAACGGTATCCTTGAATCATTAATCTGACAAAATTCATAACTACAACCACGTTTTTCTACATATAAAAGTGTTTAATTCTGTTAATTTTCTATTGTTTTTACAGCAAGAAATGTCCATGTCTATGTCAGACTAAGGTTTTATGTTTTCAGGGAATGCGATGTCAATCAGAAATATCACTCTGTCAATGTGTCAATGTTATATCTGGTGCTTATTCAATCGTAAAAGTAAATTGTGTTAATAGACGAATAAGGATATCTTAATCATTCTTGATCAGCCACTGGGTTTTAAGGGTATCACCGTAATTGGGAAATGCTTATCTATAATTAAATGGAAGCTCACTTGAAATTATGTCTAGAGTTTCTTTAAATGTTAGGTGTTATAAAACTAAACTTGGAAGTGCCAATTTAACTTTAAACATAGTAAGAGTGGCCGTGCATTCACTTTTTCTAAATGTCTAAGCTATTTAAGGTCATCTTCTAAAAAGTGAAAGGAATTGAGTTTTTGCCACAAACTCAAATTTTCTAATCCCTATATATGTGCGACCGGATGGTTTACACCTTTAATATTTTAAACTTAGATTTTTTAATCTAACAGAATTCATGGTTTAAAATATCTAAGGTCTACGACATTGTATTGTAAAGATATCGGGATTAGAAAATCCGAGTTTGTGGCAAAGACTCAATTCCTTTAGAAACGAAAAGATGATTTTAATAGTCCCTTTCACTTTTAAACTGTGACATACACCTCGCAATCTTGCATTTAAAAACAAAAGATATTGTTTTAATGTTGAATATATTTTCTCTAATATATATGTAAATTATTTTAGAAAATGAATTTAATACAAAATCAGTAAGCAAAACATCTACAAAAATGAACTTAACTTTTATAGTTATTTACAACCATTTTACAGAGAATTTAACTTACTAAGGGTTCCAAAGACCAATTTTGCCTACAAAACATCCGAAAGAGAGCGAAGGATGTTTTGAGGCTAAACTGGTCGAGAAAACTCGTGGCAAACTAAAAACCTATTATTGCGTAAAGTAAATAGACGTAATAGTAAAATGCGTAATATATGAGTATAATAACATCCTCCCCGCTCTGCGAATTTTTTGTTAATAAACGACAACATTTTTAGCTGTCCTAATAAGTCATAACTCACAGTAAAGTAAGTGTGTTGGTCTATAACTCAAAAATCTTTTAACTTATTTTTTATTATTATACTAATTTGTTTATTATATACTATTTCATTCAAATGCATATGCCGACATAATGTATTTAAGAAAAAAGGCAAAAAAATATGTTTAACGGGTCAAATTGTGATAGAAAATATGTTTAACGGGTCAAATTGTGATCATAAGTCTGAGCTTTCTGAAATATTGACAGAACCGTGGTTAAGTCCACGTGGGCCCACCCTAACATATTCACTTTTGTGCCGCAAATCAAAGTGAATATGTTCACATCTCTTCACTTTGGTTTTAATATTTTGGTGAGAGATGTTCCTATTTCTCTGATAAATGAAGTTGTTCTCCTGGATTTCTACATCGTTTATCTGCAGATATAATCTTAAATGTTGCATGCAATGTTTTAGAATTTGTTTACAACCCTTCCTTAACACTTTTTAATATTTGTTTCTAATTTTGAAAATAGTTTAGATACAATACTCACTTAACAACAATGTGTTTGTTTTCATTCTTTGCCGCAAACTAAAATTTCCATATCCCTATATTTTTGCATCCTGATAGTAAGAACTTTTCTATTTCAAACTTGTTTTATTTATTTAACAGAATAGGTATTAGAAAATCAAAGTTTGTGGCAAAGACTCAATTCTGTTATGATCTCCACCGAGCCAAATCTCCTCAGTTTTTCCACAATACTACATTCTCAGTTCATTTGCCATGCATTGCCAGTCACTCCTTTTCTTCAGCTAATAGCTGAACCGTTATTTTTTGATTATTTGTTCTGCGTAAAAATAATTTTAAATTTTACAAAGTAATTGTGTCTTCGCCACCAAATCAAATTTTCTATAATCTGACGGTGTAAACTTTTGATATTTAAAACTTGTAAAAATGCTCAACTCTTAGTTAATATTCAGTTTTAATAAATTGTAAAAAAAATTAATTCGATATTAGTGCATGTTGCAAAAAATGTGTTTTATCAGAATCGCAAAGAATCAAATTTATTTTAATAAAATCCCACAAACATTTCATTTATTTAGATTTATATCAAACCTGCAAAAACACTGTAAATTAATTCTAATTTAACTGAACCTGTCGTGAACCTGAAAAAAAAACCTGAAAAAGAGCTACTATTGGAATTGTTAGAAGGGAAAGGTTTCAAGGTTTTCGTTGTGAGTTGAACATACCCCTTTCAAATTCCGTCAATAGTCCCTTAAGATACTAAATTAATTCTGAATTTATAATTTCAGGTGTGTTCTTCAAGATCTTGTGTATAATTGATGATGAGGATGATAGAAGTACTTCCAGAACAAGATTTCTAAATGAGACAAATTAATAAATGAATAAATGATAAGGAGTGTCCACTGGGGTTTAGGAATACATAAGATGAATTAAGGAGAAATATAGAATTGATGGATCATCAAACTTTACTAGTTTCTCAAGGATAATATGTCAGGAGACAGGATGAAAATATCCAAGACGGGGTTGATTGATATTCTCCTGGTACTGATCCTGGCTGGAGGGACGAATGAGTTCTCTCTGCCTGGATCCGGGTCTCCCAATGAGACTGCCTGGGCTGTACCTGGAAATACAGCTAGACTGTTTTGTCAAATACAGGGATATACAGAATACAGAATACAAATATTTTACATTTAATAAACGCTCTTCTTAATTTCTCTTTTAACAATGATTTATTTTTTTAGATTTAAATTCTTCGTTATAAATCCAAACCGTCCTGTCTTTTTTAACTCATTCTTTTTATCCCATTATTATTGTTTTTGTAATTTTCATTTTATGAATATTGAAAGAAGTCATAAGAAAAAGATTATATTATTTAGATTTTATTTTAAAGATCCAATTTTTCTTTAACTTTTTCTAAAAAAATTGTCGACGTTGTTTCAAATGATTCTCCGTGTAGAGAGTTATATACCCGATTCACAATGGTACTCTTTTATAACCTTTGTCTGAGAAAAATTATTTTCAAAATATCCCTCCTTTTTATCCAAAAATGTATCTCTTTAAAGCTGCCCTGAACCTAGTGCTGGACACGTTCCGATTTTTTAAAAACCGTTCCGTTCCGTTCTAGAACAAGGACCTTAAGCTAAATTGTTCTGTTCTCCTTCCTTTTTTTCCCAATTCCTGTCCCATTCCATTTCGTTCTTAGTCGAAGAACGATCATCCCGTTCCGTTCCGTTCTAGGTGTTCTTAGTCAAAGACCGGTTCCATCCCCCCATTTACTTTAGAGGTGCTATTACGTCAAAATGTTCTTTAGATTCTTGAACTTATATTGTCGCCCTAGCACATGACCCTCCCCCCCCCTCCCCTACCAGCATATATAAAACATCTATCATCCAGCCTGATATTGAGTTGCCTTGTATATAAACCCTTCTTTGAGTTTGGATAACTTTGTTGTATAAACTTGATTCTACCAGGATTCAATTCTGTTGAATATATAGAAAAGATATCTTGTCAAATCTAAGTTTTCTTTTATGTTCAGTGTTCAAAATTTATTGTATAAATCTGTATCTAGAGTAATGATTGTTGGTACAACATTACTCGTGACATTACTCGTATGACAGTATCTTAGCACCATAATTTCTAGTATTCCTATGTTTCAGCAACAAAATTACTCGTATTCCTGTATCTCACCACCATATTTACTCGCATTCCTGTATCACAGCAGCCATAATTACTCGTATTCCTGTATCTTAGCACCATAATTTCTAGTATTCCTGTATTTCAGCAACCATAATTACTCGTATTCCTGTATCTTATCACCATAATTACTTGTATTCCTGTGTCTTAGAATCATAAAAACTCGTTTTTCTGTATCTTAGCACCATAATTACTTTTTAAAATCTAAATATGTATTCTGTGATTGAAAATTTAAGGAAACAAAAAGTGTTACAATTATCGCAAAGAAATTTTACCACATATTAGTTTGTTTTTATTAGTTCTTAGCACTATAATTACTCGTATTCCTGTATTTTAGCACCATAATTACTCGTATTCCTGTATCTTGGCACCATAATTACTCGTATTCTTGTATCTTAGCACCATAATTACTCGTATTCATGTATCGTAGCACCATAATTTCTCGTATTCCTATATCAACTGTCCTATATCTAATTACTATTTGTATTCCTGTATATAAAGGGTGAAGTATCAACTGTCCTTTATCTAATAATTATTTGAATTTCTGTATATGAAGGGTGAAGTATCAACTGTCCTATATCTAATTACTATATTTGTATTCCTGTATATTAAGGGTGAAGTATCAACTGTCCTATATCTAATTACTATTTGTATTCCTGTATATAAAGGGTGAAGTATCAACTGTCCTATATCTAATTACTATTTGTATTCCTGTATATGAAGGGGGAAGTATCAACTGTCCTATATCTAATTACTATATTTGTATTCCTGTATATAAAGGGTGAAGTATCAACTGTCCTATATCTAATTACTATATTTGTATTCCTGTATATGAAGGGGGAAGTATCAACTGTCCTATATCTAATTACTATATTTGTATTCCTGTATATAAAGGGTGAAGTATCAACTGTCCTATATCTAATTACTATATTTGTATTCCTGTATATAAAGGGTGAATTATCAACTGTCCTATATCTAATTACTATTTGTATTCCTTTATATGAAGGGTGAAGTATCAACTGTCCTATATCTAATTACTATTTGTATTCCTGTATATGAAGGGTGAAGTATCAACTGTCCTCTATCTAATTATTATTTGTATTACTGTATATGAAGGGTGAAGTATCACCTGTCCTATATCTAAGAACTATTTGTATTCCTATATAAAAGGGTGAAGTATCAACTGTCCTATGGTACAGGGAAGACTACGCAGAACCAATCTACACATACGATGCTAGGAATTAAACTCAAGAAGAAAAATTGCAAGATGTAAAAAAATGGTTTGCCTGAAGACCCCATTTACTTTATCCTATTTATATTTATCAGAGTTAAAATATGAAAATCTAGTTTCCAGCTGCAAACTGCATACAGAGTTAACTTAGTTAGATTAATCTCAATTTAAAAGTTATAATAATTAAATTTATATAAAAAATGAGTGAGCACGAAAAAAATACAATGCAGTTTAAATCAGAATTGAATTCAATCAATCGGCATAATTAAGAATTTTAGAGTTAATTTATCACGAAAACAAGAGAATTAGTTTGAATGAAATACATCACTTTCGTTAATTAAAATGCTATAAAATGATAAATATTTTTCTGTTCACAATTTGGCATTCATGGAAAACGTACAGACAAACAGACAGAAAAGGAAATATATGTGAATAATCTGTTGGGGTGAGTTAAACTGAAGAGAAAATCTTGGCATTTTTTATTAGTAATCATTTTCTCAGATTTTCTAAAAATTTTGGGGAAATTCGATAAAATAAGATCCGAGTCGTAAGTTGCAACTTCCTGAATTTGAATGGACGCTACGTTCTTCGGTAAGATTCGTTTTCAACAATTTTCTCTTTATAGACGCAACATATAGAAGTAAGATTAGTAGTGATCAGCATCGATAATTTTTCCCCTTGAGCGTATACCTCCTTTCATTTTTCCCCTTGAGCGTATACCTCCTTTCATTTTTCCCCTTGAGCGTATACCTCCTTTCATTTTTCGCGAAAACTCTCTTTTAAATAAAAGCGTTTTGTAGGTAATTTAAGATATGTTTTCGAATTTGTCTTGATGTACTGATTATTATAATAAGCTTATAATGACAAAGCTGAACTAGAAATAAAGTCCATTTTATTTTCATTTTTATTTTATTTTTGGAAATTTCTAAACATTTTGGTAAATTTTGACATTCTATCAATGTTTATAATTGCTTTTTTGTTTATAGAAGCCTTTTAACTTTAAGGTAACTTAAGAATCATACATCTGACGTATGTTGGTATATCATAGTTTTACTGAAAAATTTAGATTATTAAAAACCATACCGTTACTGTACGTACTGTACATAAACCATAAACAAGGCCGAGGCAAAAGATGACATAAATATATTATCTACATGATAATTACTTGCAATGACATATATATATTATCTACATGATAATAAATAGCAATGGCATTTAACATCGAAAACTACTGGGATTACCAAAATGTGGGTAAATTTTAACCTTCAAAATAATGAGAAAATGAGAAATTTGTCTAGAGTCCTAATTATTAAATGGAGGGGGGGTACTTTTCAGTGTATATAAAAGTTAAACAAAAATTTAAACCAGGTGTAAATATGAGTGGTTGAAGAAATTAAATCTATACAGACTGTGCTATTTTTATCTATTATATCATAGTTAATTTCAATTAACTAACACCGACAGTCTGTGAGTTTATTTGCATTTTCATTCATTTTGTAAATTATTTTTAAAGTTATTTTTTTTTAAACGCGAAACTTAAAAGAGCTATAGTGTAGATGCGATTTCGATTAACAACAGTACCCTCTTAAATATTGTTAAGACTACGTATTTACACGAATATCCTTATTGATTAAACGGGTACCGTTGTAAATCAGACATGTTATCTTTTTGTTTACTGTGGGTTGACTTGAAATTAAGAGACCATTCCCTTTAAGGTTGGCAGGCAAATATGGGCCCTGCGGCTTTAGGACTATATAAATACTAATATTACGAATATATCACTCACTTTTGCTACAAAAGTTACAGATAGGTAATTGAAAAATGCATAAAGAAATTGAGTATAAACTTTTGATATTTCAACTTAGATTATTTGATTTAACAGAATTGATTGTTTGAAATATCTGAGGTCTCCGACATTGGTTTGGAAAGACATAGGATCAGCAAATCAGAGTTTGATGCAAAGACTCAACTCCTTTCCAACATTTGTATTTAAGGAATGAATCTAAAAATAATGATTTAATTTTGAGGAAAATTTACAATAAAAGAATAGATTAAAATAGTAAAGGGTTTTCTTTAAAATGAAATGTCGTTGTTATTTTAAGGGACCGTTCATGTTTGATTCGCAGCAGCACCCTTTTTACTTTTTTAAACTGTGAAAAACTCGTCTTTTTTTCAACACGACAACAGACCCTTTCAGTATTTTTTTTTGCAAATGTATGTTTGCGGAGTTGATTAAAGGGATGTGGGGGGGGGGG